GTCTGCTGGCCCCCTCCTCCTGGGGCTGGGCGGGGGCGGTGGTCCTGGGCCCAGGCCCCAGGTGCTGCGGTCCAGGCCCTGACCCTGCTGCCCATCAGGAGCTCGTGGCTGTGTCCCCGGCGTCCAGTGTGTCCTAGGTGCTCCGTCACTCTTGGAATGAATGGGTGACGAATGTTCAAGTAAATTGGCTGGTGCCCCACCCCCTTCTCCCCAAAGCACCTCCAGCTCCAGCTGCGAGGAGAGCAGTCTGACTGCCCAGGGGACTTGGGCCTGGACCAGAGAAGCCTTCAGTGTCCCTGAGGGCTGCTCCTGGGCTGGCTCCCCCTCTGCCCCACACCCCCAGGCCTCTGTGCCTCTCCCACCCTCCATGTGACCCAGAAAGAACTGAGAGCCCTGGCCAGTGTGCTCAGTGGTTAGACTATCAGCCCACCCACCCAAGGGTCGTGGTTTCGATTCCCTGGCAAGGGCGTGTACCTGGGTTGCAGGCTCTATCCCTGGCCCTGGTTGGGGCACTTACGGGAGGCAACCAATCGATGTGTCTCTCTCACTTGGAGGTTTCTCTCTCTCTCCTCCTCCCTCCCTCTCTCCCTTCCACTCTCTCTAAAATCAATAGAAAAAGTATCCTTGGGTGAGGATGAACAAAAATAAATAAAATAAACTGAGCTTTACTGACTGGGGAGCGGGGAGTGGAGCCCTCTCTCCCCCTAGACCAGCGGTTCTCAACCTTCCTAATGCCGCGACCCTTTACAGTTCCTCATGTTGTGGTGACCCCCAACCATAAAATTATTTTCGTTGCTACTTCATAACTGTAATTTTGCTACTGTTATGAATCGTCATGTAAATATCTGATATGCAGGATGTATTTTCATTGTTACAAATGGAACATAATTAAAGCATAGTGATTAATCACAAAAACAATATGTAATTATAGATGTGTTTTCCGATGGTCTTAGGCGACCCCTGTGAAAGGGTCGTTCAACCCCCAAAGGGGTCGCGACCCACAGGTTGAGAACCGCTGCCCTAGAGCCCTGCCTGCCAGGGCCTGAGGCACAGACCTCGGGCACTTATTGTGACAGGCACCTTCGTGGGCTTCCAGTCTTTTTTTTCTGCAAATGGGAGGATAGCTGGTTCCTGTCATGAGAGGCTGTAACCCGGGTCAGGGGTGGGCTGCGTGGAGGACACAGAGGCCGCTCAGGGGCGGAAGGTCAAAGGGCCAAGTAAGTGCTGCTTCTTTTCATCAGAACAGCCGGCCGCCCACACTGTCCTCAGCTTTGTTTCAGCAAACATTTTCCTGGTTACTAACCCTCACCCGAGGGTATGTTTCCCACTGATTTTTAGAGAGAGTGGGGGGGGGGGTGGTCAGGCAGGCGCCAGGTAAGCCTGAGGGCCCTGAAGGGGGAGGGCAGGCTGTGGACAGGAGCCTGGGGCGCGTGCAGGATGGACCAGACAGGCAGCAGGCGGGGTCTCCAGGCTCAGCCCCTGCCCACGTGGCCCTGGCTGTGGGCTGCGCTGAGTGGAAACCACCTCCCGGGCGTTTTGGGAAGAGCTCAGCATCCAGTCCTGGCTTCCTCCCTCCCATGGCCTGTGCTCCAGGCAGTCTCCCCACAGTTCCTGGCTCCCTCTCTGACATGCGGGTGGTGACAGCCGAGGGTGGGGCTCCGGGCACTGACCGCTCTCTCTGCCAGTGCAGGCTGCCCTGGACTTCGTGGTGGAGGAGGACCTGAAGGCCCACCTCACGTGCTGGTACATCCAGAAGTACGTCAAGGAGAACCCGCTGCCGCAGTACCTGGAGCGCCTGCAGCCGTGACCCTGGCTGGGGGCAGGCACGCCCTGCCAGACCTCTCCTCGCCCTGGCCCTGCCTCCGTGTGCTCTCAGGAAACCTGGATCCCATGGCGGTGGGCCACTCAGCTGTTTTGTAAGGACGCTCATCTGGGCCCCGGAGGCGGCTGGCCGAGGATGGGCAGGTCCGGTGACTGGCAAGGGGAGGCCAGGCAGCCGCATCCCGGCAGCTCCTGCCTGCAGATCTGGCGGCTTCTCCGAAGACCATACGGCCTGTTGTGGGCAGGCCTGTGAGGGCCCGTAGGCAGGACTGGGACACGGACGGGCATCCCTGTGGCCCGCTGTGCCCCCTTGTGTTCCTTGCTCTGTGATTGGCAAGTGCTGTCCTGGCACCCCCTCACCACCCCTGCCATTTGGTCCTATTTGCAGAGGGGGTGTTCCCAGTGTTGAGAGGAGCAATAGAAACTATGTGCCAACTTCCGAGGGCACAGCGCCAGCTGCGGCTGCCGTCAGCACTGCCCGCCTTCCTCCAGCTGCCCGCCTGGCAGGGGTGGCCGGGGCAGTTCTCCCTGATGTGTGCGGCCGGGAACGGGTCGCGGGCTCACCTGTGCACACAGCACACGCAGCACGGAAGCTGAGTGCCAGGCGGTGCGCCGGGCAGAGAGGCGGGGGGGGGGGGGGGGCACCAGCTGCTCTCTCCCTGCTGCCTGTGCCCTAACTCCTGGCCTCCTTGTCTGTCAGCTCTGCGGGAACCGAGGTCCCGCCCCCTGTGGCTGCCCTGCCCTCTCCATCTGCCTGTCGCCAGGGCAGCTCCAGGGGCTCCAAAACCTCCCAGGGACCCGCCCCCCTGGCCCAGGCCCTGGGTGAGCTTCCTCAGAAGGGACCCTGTGGAGCAGAGGTGGGAGGGAGGTGAACTGTCCTCAAAGCCGTCCTCACCACCAGGAAAGACACTTTTCTGCAGAGGCTTCCCTTCGGGGCCGCAGCCTCGGGGCACCTTCTGGGGGAGCAGTGGTTGGGCACGGCCGTGACCTGCACGTGCACGCTCTGGCCCCAGGGAGCCTGGGAATGGCGGAGGGCACCTCCTTCCGGCTGTGCTCCCCAACTCTGCAGTGTGCTATATGAGGGCCAGGGGAGTGCCTGTCCCCCTGTGCTGGGAGTCATGGGCCAGCAGGGGGTGAGCACAGCTGCTGGGCCCCTCCCAAGGCTGGGGCAGCCCACCCTGGCACAGCTGAAGAAGGGGGGGTAGGCCCGAGAGTGGACAGACCGGCCGGGTCTTTTCTCTCCCTCCTTCCCTCCCCACTCACACAAGTTTACATACAGATTCGTCATGGAAACGGTCCAGCGGCTCAGTGAGCTGGTGCTCTCGCTCTGCGGCCTGTGGGTGAGGTGGCCCAGTGCTAGGAGGATGCCCGACAGACGCGGGGCTGGGACAAGCAGGCTGTGGGGCGGGGCCAGGGGCAGTGTGTCCCAGCCTGAGCCTGGTTCGAACAGCAGGTGGCGGGCCATGCTGGGCCAGCAGGCAGACAGAACTCGTTAATTGAACCAGGAG